GATGAACGGTCTTTAATTTATCTTAGCATAATGCATGGGGGCTTTACATTCTTGCCTTCCCCCCTTTAATTTTTTCCCTTATTTTCATCCCTTCTTTTTCCTGCCGTTTTACATTTAAAAAGTGTACAGTATTACTTCTGGCACGATTGTAAAACGATTACAGTATGGATTGCAATTGCCAGCATCAAGGTGGACTGATCAACACCGGCAGATGAGCCGATGCGCTTTCAAAATAATTTGACATATGCCCTCCAACATCGAAATACGTTCATATAATTGTACAAGTTTATGATTGTCCATCCGAAAGGTGTGCTTCTTCTCTATGTTCCAAGCAAAAGCGCCAAACTCTTCAAGGATCGCTTGCGTCTAAGAATGACGTTTCTTATTTTGAAGTCTCGTCCGACGTGTCCGTTTTAGCAACATTAGCTTGCAGTCGTTGTCAAAGAGTTGCTTCGGGTGACAGAGTCCAGCTGTTCTGGCGTTTGGTCACGCACTGAGGGCAAAGACGAGACTATTTAACTCGATTTACACTATGCGAGGGATTTGTCAATGGAACAAACTTACTGACGGGTTGAAAGTTAGCCGCAGTGGCTAACTAACTAGATTCCTTGCTAGTTAGTTAGCTTCCCGTAGCTTTGCTGTTGTGCGAGAGAGAGCTTTTTTTTTTTTCCCCCTCAAATATATATGGATATAATTTAAAGCCAGGATGTCTCAGTTTGTTGATTCGGACGAAAACACCCCTTTACTCCGGGACGAACCAAGGAGGTGACTGTGATTTTATGATGTCAAGTACTGTAGTAGTAATTTGTTTTTAAATTAAACTTTATTGAAACTTGTGCACAGTGATGACGTTAATGATGACGATTACCGGAGCCGATGGAGATCGATCAGAGTCATGTACTTCACAATGTTTCTCAGCAGCGTAGGTGAGAAAAGTTTATATATTTTTGTTCATATTTTTTGCAGAAACCCTGACCGAAAAAGTAAGGAAGAACACTGCATCAAATTGAGGTGTTGATTCACCCCTGCTGCTAAATAACATTTATTTTGTATGATAATAATAATAATGATTCAATTTTGTATGTATGTATGTGTGTGTGTCTGTGTGTATATATATATATATATATATATATATATATATATATATATATATATAAAACCAAACATACACAACCACAATGTATTGATATTTATTTGGTTTCTCAACCATTGCTCTTTGTCAATCCTTATAGGTTTCACCATCGTAATAACATCGTTGTGGCCGTACTTAGAAAAGTCTGACGACAGCGCCGACGCCACCTTCCTGGGCTGGGTGGTGGCGGCGTACAGTCTCGGTCAGATGGTGGCATCGCCCCTTTTTGGCCTGTGGTCCAATTACCGGCGGCGCAGAGAGCCGCTAGTGTGCTCCATCTTCATCAACCTGTCGGCCAACATCTACTATGCCTACGCTTCCCTGCCGTCGACCGGGGACAAGTACCACATACTGATTTCGCGAGCCTTTGTGGGCTTCGGAGCAGGTTGTAATCATCATTAATTAATGATGTCATATGTACAGGAAACCCCCGTTTATCGTGGGAGGGAGGGGGTATTGTCCCAGACCCAGCCGTAAATAGGCGAAAATATGCGATATAGAAAAGCCACACAAAAATCATTTGTTGAAATAGCTCTAACCTTCACATATGGTATAAACACATTGAAACTTATTAAAACCCACTTTTTAAATCCATTGCAAACATATTTGAACACCCCCAGAAAATATATAGCAAACTATACACAGTCCAGTACTGTATTGATCAGTGCTGTGTGCCCCTAGATGGCACTCAAGGCTAAGGTAGGGAGTTTCATGGCTGGGAGTTATGTTAAGACGGATCATGGTAGGTGAGACACATTCCAGCAGGGGAGAACTGTACTCTCGTCAGTAGACAGTTTAACACCATTTGTGTCGTGACAGGTAATGTTGCTGTGGTGAGATCATACGTTGCTGGAGCCACGTCGCTGAAGGAGAGGACGAACGCCATGGCGAACATGAGTGCATGTCAAGCCTTGGGGTTCATCCTTGGACCAGGTTATTGTGGATTTTTACCTCCACTGAATCTAGACGACACACCTGAGAGTTGGGTCATCATCTTGAAAGCAAGCTACGTGCCAAACAGTCTTGATTCCTGTCTGTCGCCAAAGACTTGTCTATGGGACTTGTTAAAAAAGCAGGCCTAATATGTGGAAAATGTGTGTATTTTTTATTTTTTTTGTGTAATACGTGTGTATGTCCGTCAGCTCTGCAGGCTTGCTTGTCATTCCTCGGGGAAGTGGGTTACACGGTGGAATTCATCCAGCTGAAGCTCAACATGTACACTGCTCCGGCTCTACTGGCCGCCGTCTTTGGCGTCATCAACATCTTGTTGGTTGCCTTGGTGCTCAGGTGAAGTCTTTTGAAAGAAACGATCATTTGACAACAAAAGGGTGGCTTTGCTTCTGTAGCCAATGGTTGTCCGTTTCACAGGGAGCATCGTGTCGATGACGACGGGAGACGCATTCAAGCCATCAACTACCTCTCGGAAGGTAAGATGTTATGGGTGTCTCCCATTGGAACACTAATCTGGTATGTTGCCGTCCCGTCTCTTCCAGATGAAGTGGACCTAATCGAGGACCCGGAGGAAACCATCGACCAAGTAGCGGCCTACACCTCCAACGTCCTCTTCTTCATTGTCATGTTCATTTTCGCAGTCTTCGAAACGTATGTGGGCAGATTGCTGTCATGTGATGCTGAGCCTTGTAATCGTGACTCCCCTCTGAAACAGGATCGCCACACCTTTATCCATGGATATGTTTGCGTGGACGAGGAGAGAAGCTGTTTTCTACAACGGCATCATCATCTGCTGCATTGGCTTTGAATCCATCCTGGTCTTTCTGGCGGTGAAAGTGGCCGCTCAAAGGTAACGCAAATACAGCAATCCCTCGTTGAGTGACCCGCAATAGACAAAATCCACCAACTAGCGACTAAATATATGAGTACATGAGTCTGCAGTAGCAGTCAATGTGGAAAAAGAATCATCGCCAAATCTGGGTTCACTGAATTGCACTCTTGATTTCGCAGCGATAGACATATATAATGCACACACAGTTTCCAGCCTCATAAACACTTCTTACACTTAATGAATAAAACTTTGATGCAAAATACTTTTAAAATGCAGAAGAAGTACCGGCGCTGTAAATCCTTATAATATGACGGAAGTTCTTCTTCGTCTTCAAAATGGAAGAAAAATAAGAAGGGTTTTCATGGCAACTAGCTTTCACTTCCCACAACGAGGATTTACAGCACCAAAAGGCGTATTAACACACCAGGATTGTACCTTTGGCTACATTGAGACATGGAATTCTGGTTCAGCTTTGCTGTTTTAAACTAAAATGAATAACTTTAACGTAGTTATTAAGCAGATGTTTCATTTTAGAGTCGGGGATCGGCCGGTGCTGCTCGCAGGTCTGGCCATCATATTCTGCGGCTTCTTCATTCTGCTACCATGGGGCAACCATTACCCTAAAATCCAGTGGGCAGGTATTAAAAAAAAGAAAATAAAATCTTTTTTTTTGGGGGGGGGGGGTACTGACATGGTTTCAAGTTTGAAGGTAACCTTGTTTTTCCACCCTCCCTAGACCTTAAAAACAACTCATTGGTCAGTCAGCTATCATCCAACAGCTCTTTTGAGTCCACGGGCTGCCCATATGACCAGACCTGGTGTCAGTACACCCCCGCCATCCACCTGGCTCAGTACATCACCTCAGATTTCCTCATCGGAGTGGGCTATCCGGCTTGCAACGTCATGTCCTACACCCTGTATTCCAAAATCCTTGGACCAAAACCTCAGGTAAAAGAGCTAACCGATGTGAAGAGGGTTAGCTTCGAACCTCAGACTTTGCTTTTTGTTTCTCTTGTCTATAATGCTATTTTGATGTCCAGCTTGACTTCTTTCTATTTCCAGGGCGTGTACATGGGCTGGCTGACAGCGTCTGGGAGCGGCGCGCGGACTCTGGGCCCCGTGTTTGTCTCCCACGTGTACACCCTCCTCGGCCCTCGTTGGGCCTTCACTATCATCTGCATCATGGTGGCGGCGGCCATCGTTCTCCTCAGCTTTGTCTACCACAGACTCATCGCCTTTTCTGTCCGTCACGGAAGGACAATAGAATAAGCAGACGCTTTCCATACTGGACCCACCAAAGGACCAAAAAATGAGTTTGAAAGGGAACATGTGTGAACTTAGGCATCTAGATTGGCCTCCAGTTTTAAATTGAGTTACTACATCTTTGTTACTGATACACTAGTACGTTTTTAATCAATTGCATTTTGAATGAACTAAGGTGTGTGAACTTTATGCTAATGCATGTTTTAATGTCGCAGGCGCATGCACTGGTTTAAAAATGTGACTTAATAATGTGAATATATATATACCATATATGCTAAACAACTTTTTTTTTTAAACCGAGAGTGATGGATTTTGAAGCAATTGTCATATTTCCCATATTGAAGCTACTTTTAATACATTGTCAGGAAGCTAGGAGTATTCTAAAAAATGTATATGGACCTAAATGACAAGAGATTTATATTTTATTTCGATAAACATACAAAATGCAAAATCACGTTTTTTGTGTACGTTTTTCGTACAAATCGACCATACATTATTATTTCCCTGATGAGTACATTCCATGAAATCGGTATGTACAGTAAATTGTTGCGGAGTGAAACATTTATAATTTACAGTACAATACAGTACTGTCCAGCAAACTGCTTCCGCCCAGATGAGTCCCACACCCTCACACTGCGCATGCGTTACAAAAAGTCATACGTCACCCTTGGATCCGCATTGCGCGTGAATAAAATTACGTTTTTGAGTTACAAAAAAAAATACACAATAATATACATATGTTGTATTCGTCTAAATGATACACAAAAGGAAGATGTGGTTGGGAGGAGGTTTAAACGTACTCAGAAACACGGAAAGATTCCACTCAATAACCGGAAGTCCCGCCCCTCAGACTTTGACTGATGAGTAAAGGCATGTGAACAGTTTACGAGCAGATGTGACTGCGTTTACAGCGTAATTATTTTATACTTTTAATGGTCCTATAATTAAGTCTTTATAAATACTGAGAGTGGAGAAATGGGTAAAGAAACGCTTTTGGCGCCTCTTTCCATTGTGTTTGTGCCAAGTTTACCTGGGCAGCTAATTGCCTCCTTCTAGTTAGCTCGAAATATATTGACGTTCAACCACTTAACTCTGTTGTCTATCCCCTTTCCTTTCTCTTCTCTTTCAGATTCTAGAATGCATCCGTGGGTAAGTACAATCAATACTTGATACTGATGGTCTACTCCGATCAAGTTAGGAAGCTCTTCAGCCGCCCCTTAAAAAAGAAACAAAATCTCATCCCTTTTGTCCCCCCCCCCCACACTTTGTAAGATATTCCTATATTTTTTCGACACCTGTAAAGCGGTGCATATTGCTGCTGTGACAATGTAATTTTCCTCAAAGTTACGTGAGTCGGCACTTTTTTTTCTCCTGCCTGTGTACGGAAAATGAAAGTGAAACTTTCACCTACATGACATGAGCAAATTTCGTTTATACTGTTTTTTTACGCATTTGTAAAGTGTTGTCATTTGGTTCTCTCTTCCCCACACAGCGAACCTATAGAAATTCAGGTAAGAAGGCGTCACGGAAGTCTGGCTTGATTTTAGTCAATCAGCTTTTTGTAATACTATCACAGCTAAAATCTCGTCGAGTTTACATGTTTATGGCCGCCAAAACGCTTACTACACAGGATAAATATTTCGACCTAATTCAACTGTAAAAAGGAATATTGTTGCAAACGATTTCAAACACATTTCTTACCATTTATGACTATTGGAGTCATGCTGTGATTTTTGCAATATAACATTTTATTCTCGGCATATTATGACTAATATTGGGGAAAATGACACATTTGTTGGCGTGATATTATGACTTAAGTCTTGTAAAACGTGACACCTGAATTGGAGTCATAGGATGACTTGGCTGAAGTAACGTTATGACTTTATTTTTGTAGAAATGATGATTTTTCTTTCTTTTGATAGTCTGACTTTATTGGAGTAAATAGACAGATAATAGGAAGACATGCATTCAAAAACATTTTTCCCCTCCTGACAGCCTTACATGGTATTTTGTCTTATCAAGATGATGATGATGATGATGATGATGATGTCAGAGAAGTGGTGATGCTTTCTTCAGGGACAAAGTACGATCATTTCGATTTTGTCTTCGGCAGAAGAGAATTGCTGGAAGAGGTCAATGTGAGTGTACGTTTTTGTTATTTTTTTTGCTGATTTGGTACATGGATATTTGACACTTGTCTTTTCCTGTAGGACACTGAAAGGGAAGCCTGTTGTTTACTAGAGCAGGCCAAAATCAAAGAAAAGGCAGAGAAGAAGCGGCTGAAGAAACAGGTACGCTTGCTTGGAAAGCGCAACACTATAAACTTAAAAGGAATGTAGGTCAGCATGTCATAGCAATGGCCAATAATGTCACAATTCTGCGAGGAAAAGGGGTGTCAGTTTTAATGAGTCTTTTACAACTTCAACTTGATTCACGTCAATGTGCAACTTGGTCTAACAATTATGAATTTTCCACCTTTTTTTAACTTACAACTTTAATCGTACAACTTTGAAAATTAATACTTTAGTTTCCCAGGTAGTATTTTGTATTTCGAGTCAGTTTTGTCTCATAAAATGGTGACTTTCCAATCTATTTCTTCACTGGGGAAATTCACAGTCTACAGCAGCAAATTTGGGGCGTAGAAAAAAGAAAAACAAAGTGTTTGCATGCACAAAAAAATTCTACTGTGGAATTGTAATTATTCTACAAAATATGCAACATTATTCTCAGAAAACATTTTTTTTCTTGTAAGAAATGTTACAACTCTTCTGACATCGTAGAAAGGGTTCTGTCAGTCGTCATCTGTACCTGTGGGTAAAAAACAAAAAACAAAAAACAAACCAAAAAAAAAAAAAACCTGTACCCACAGGTACAGATGACGACTGACAGAACCCTTTCTACGATGGAACTTTCCTGTACGACTGAGAGCCTCCACAAAACTCTTCTGACAGTGATTTTTTTTTTTAATTCTTAGGAATTTATGACTTAACTTTCTAAAATTATGACTTTGTTGTTGCAATGTTGTGACAAAATCACACACATACATTCAAACCTGATTCTATTGTCGTAAAAGTGAAATATAGTTCTGGTTAAGATTTAGGACTCATTACTTGAAAGTTTAGACTTGATTATCTTAAAATCAGATTTGGCTTTCATCATCAAATTGTGATTTTGTTGTGGGAAAATTTTAACTTTATTTACACTTCACATTTTTATTTTTCTCTGTCTGATGTTCTCAGAATACTACAGCAATATTCTTGTAAATACTTAAACTTTATTCTCGTAATACAATGTCGTGAGGTGCATGTTAAGTTTGGATTTTTCCTGGAAATTATGACTTGGTGTTTAATGACAACATTTTGACATTGCTGTAAGAAGCACAACTTTATTTTGAAAAAAAAAATTACATTCTTACTGTAAGATTTGTTTTCATGAAAAATTGCTGGGAAAAATTAGAATACGCATTCTCATTCAATTGTGCCTCCGAAAAGTATGCCTTTATTCTCATAAAATGTTATCCATTTTCTTACTTTTGAATTTCTGCATTATTCTTGGAAAGTTATTCTTCTAAAATTACGACTTTGTTGTCATTGTGTTGCCGGCCAAAGAGACAGAAGGAAAGAAAGCGGCAGGAGAAAATGGAGAAGGAAAAAGAGAACGGCGTAAGTAGCTGCATTTGAAACAAATGATGCAAAACATTATTTTGAATGAATGACACCCCCACCACATGCGAGTATGTTCTCGGTGCAAAAGTTAAATGCTGCTTTGCAGCAGTCCAACGCGGAGGAGAATTCGGCGGTCGGCGACAAATTGCCAAACGGCGCTCAAGCCAATGTGGAAGTTCGAGAGGAAGGCGGAGCGGAAGGCGGCGCCGGTAGAGAAAACGATTCGGGCCATGTTAGCGACCAGGACGCTGAGGTACGTGATGGCACGGTTTTTCTTTTGGGATTGTGAATTGATAAATATATATATATATATATATATATATATAAATATATAAATAAATAAAATATTGCAGCTAAACTAAATATTTTAACACCTCTGAAACTTTTGAATGTTTTAGAGAACGTGAGAGAGAGCATTTTATGAAATAAAATCTTAAAGGTCCTGTAAATTTCAAGGTCAAATTATTGGTGAAAAGGTCATGTGACTAAAATATGCTCCGATCTTTTAGGTGATTGCAGATGCGGATTCCTTGTTGAAATTCCGTTTCCGAACAATACCTGTCTTGCGAAGATTGACCCGGTCGTTCTTGAGACCTTGGGGTTCAAAGGAAAGCGGCCACTCGCCTTTTTGCCAATCTAGTTAAAATTCGGTGGGCCCGAGCTTCCCACCTGCTGCTCTGATTGACCTAAAAATTGAGATTTTGTGTCGTGCTGTCACGATCAACAAGTACAGCAAGTTTCATGAAAATCCACTTGGGTTTTATTTCTGTGTTTAATTTTTTTTGGGGGGGGGGGCGATTTTTGGCATTGAATGATCCGATATCTTTTTCCAAACAAATTGATTTTCACAACCTTTGTAATTTCATTTAAAAGCTACATTGTGAATTTATTCCTACTTAAAAATATTTACATTTTTTTTATTTTTGGGGCGAACGAACTGGATATAACTTGTGTTATTTTGTGGTTTCACAAAGAAATTTTAAAACAACAACAACAACAAAAACCGTTTTTTTTTCTTCCTAAGGAACTGGATATGACAAGTTGTTTTGTGAGTCAAACGGCCCAGAGAGTCCAACATAAATTGGAGGCGAAGCCTAAGCCTGAGAAGGCGAAACAGAAGCCGCCCAGCAAAGGGCAACTCCCCAAGAAATCCCATGACGACATCGGCAAGGTCAGTAACTCCACTTCTTTATTTTACGCAAAAAAATGTTTTCCCTTCGTATTTATGCCTGTGTATGACAGATTATCGTAGAAAAAAAATTGTCAGGAAGTTGATGTAATATTTGAACGGCATTTTCGTAAATACGACTTGTGCCTAAAATACTTTTTCTTTTTAAAATGACTTTTTAAAAATGTCAACTCATGTGAAACTGCATTGTGATTGACATCCCATTTGGAGATTCGATACACGAAATTACATCAGTTACAATTTGTACAATTCGCACTGTCCAGTTAGTTCTGTTTTCATCAAATTGTTCATTAGCTTACCTGGATTAAAGGGAAAAAAAAAAGATTAATTCCGTTTTTGACAATGTTTGGCACAGGTCTCCGCTGGCGGCTTGGTGCTTACCGATAATGCTGAAATAAGCAACGATCTTGCAGGTGAGTTCCCGCATTTTCCTGCACGTTTGCGCATCATTTTTCTTGGGTTTTAAAAACTTTTTGAATTCCCCAAAGCTCGGGGGAATAAATGGGCTCACGACGGACGTTATGACTTGGCGGTGGATTGTTTTACCCAAGCCATCCAGTACAATCCTACGGAAATTAAGTCGGTACCCTTATGTGTGCTACATCTTTGTTTTCTTTCTGTTCCTGTTTTGGAAGGCTAAAAAAAAAAAAAAGCCATTAACGCAACACATGTTTTCCTTTTAGGTTGTTTGGAAATCGCGCATTCTGTTTGGAGAAGATGCAGGAATATGAGAAGGCCCTGGCCGACGCCGAGTTGTGCCTCAACATGTCTCCCGGCTGGATTAAAGGCCTCTTTCGCAAGGGGCGCGCTCTAGCCGGTTTAAAGGTCACCGTCCGCTTTTAAACATTACACTTTACACTTTGGGTTGAGGCCTTCATCGAGTCAAGCGAACGACACCTGACACTCAATTGGGGAAAGGCATCTCCAAGTGCAATTAGCCGGGACGTTTATTTGGCTAAATAGTGAGGTGTGTATATTTGAGACGCGACATAGAGAAATTAATGACATTGGCAGTTGATTACGAAATGGCATCTCTGAGACCTAGCGGAAGGGAACACCGCCCCCCCCCCAACTTTATCAACCATTTTAAATTAACCATTGCTGCATGCAAAGTGCTGTACACGAAACACAAATCAGACATAAAAACAAGGAAAGTTAATACATCCATCCATCCATTTTCCGATTCGCTTTATCCTTACAAGAGTCGCGGGGCGTGCTTGGAGCCTATCCCAGCTGTCCTCGGGCAGTAGGCTGGGGACACCATGAACCGGTTGCCAGCCAATCGCGGGGCACACATAGACGAACAACCATCCGCGCTCACACTCTCACCGAGGGACAATTTAGAGCAGTGGTTCTTGACCTTGTTGGAGGTACCGAACCCACCCAGTTCATATGCACATTCACCGAACCCTTCATTAGTGAAAAACAAAAATATGACTTTTTCACAAATTCAAGACATAAAAAAACGCATTCATTAAGAACAGAAAAAAGTAGATAAAATTTCAAGAGATAAGGATTTTTTTTTTTTTTTTTAAATTTACGACGTACTATCACGACAGTCAGAAGGTGACTACAAAGCGAACTAAATTTCCCACAGCACCGATTAGACAAGCAATGTCATGTGATCATCTGCAGCCAGCGATGGCCAAGCGGGCGTGTCATAACTAATTGACATGTTGAGTCTGATGTGTCTTAACCGCCGTGGCAGAGGCTCTCGAACCCCTCTGAGACCGATTCACCGAACCCCTTGGGTTCGATCGAACCCAGGTTAAGAACCACTGATAGAGTGTTCAATCAGCCTGCCATGCATGTTTTTGGAATGTGGGAGGAAACCGGAGTACCCGGAGAAAACCCACGTAGGCACGCAAGGCTGGAGCTGATATCGAACCCGGTACCTCTGCACTGTGAGGTCGACTCGCTAACCACCGGTCCACCGGGTCGCCCAAGTTAATACACAATAACATAAAACCAGTAAAAGCAATAAATCACTCAAACAATGCCGAGGCAAAAGCCAAAGAATAAAACTTGTGTTGTAAGATAAGATAAGAAAACCTTTATTCGTCTCACAATGGAGAAATTCCCACTTCACAGCAGCAAAGTTATGAAAGGAAGAAGTAGAAGAACAAAATATAGGAGCTGCTGTAAAGGCAGCCACTCTCGCGGCGCCATCTTGAACTCATCGTGTAAGATGAGTTTTAGAGATGGACAGAGCGGTGGTTTTCCTCGGCGCCTCCCTTCACCGCCTTCCTCTCTCCACCAGAGATACGAAGAGGCGGCGCATGCCTTCCAAGGGGTCCTAAAGCTGGATGCCTCTTGCGCCGAGGCAGCTCAGGAAATGATGCGAATGCAGATACTGCAGCTGATGGTGAGTCAGCGAAGGCCTCGCACAAACCAGGTTAAAGCCGCAAATTTGTGAGTGGACCGGCAACAAACTCGCCGCGACTTGAGGTGCCCGGACGCTGCCCCTTCTGAGCCGCGCCGTCCCTGTTTTTCTCGTCGAAGCGCCCCGAGTGCCGGCGGCTTCAGGAACCGCGGGGAAGACCGAACCCCCCGGGAAGGGCCGCCGTGCCTCCAACGTCCAAAAAGATGGCCACCCGTGAGTCACCCACATGAATGTTATAGCTTCAATTGCCACATGGGAAAGGACGTCACTTTTCCTCATCATATTTGTGCTTCATTTACACAATATTTAAAGATTTACGACTTTATGCACATAATATTGCAACTTTAGTCCTATTATTTTGACTTCGGAATATGCTCATTATGACTGAAATCACTCAATACTTTATTCTTGTGCTATTTTGACAAATTATTGTGTGCTAATTCATATTTATTCTCGTACATCTTCACACACACATAAGATTACAACTTTATTTTCCAACTATTTTGACTTAATTCACTTTTTTCCTCACATCATGACTTCTGTTCCTGTAAAATTTAGTTTTAGGGTTTTTTTTTTCGTAATTTCTCTAATATTTTAACCTGTTTTCACCAAAATACTTTAGGTTTTACTTTTAATATTTTGGCTATTTACATGGAAATATAAAGATTTATTTTCCTAATTTGAACGACTTTGTTCGGATAATATTAAGTATTATTCTCAGAATTGTTTACTAATATTTTAACATGTTTTCACCAAAATACTTTAGGTTTTACTTTTAATATTTTGGCTATTTACATGGAAATATAAAGATTTATTTTCCTAATTTGAATGACTGTTCGGATAATATTAAATATTATTCTCAGAATTGTTTTTATTCTGTACAATAATTCAGATTTAGTCTTTGATTTTAAGATTTCACACATTATAATTTTCACATATTAAAATTTTAAACTTATTATATTATTTGTATTTTTATTTACATATTTCATCTTTTTTCATGTCACATTTTTTTAACTACACGTTAGTTATATCATTATTATTTTTTATTTTATTTATTTATTTTTTGTGTGTGTGACTTGATTTTTTTGCACTCGTTTCGGAGATTTAGCACTCTCCCGTCTCCCTCGCAGGGAACTGTTTCCAGTATGGGTGGGCAACCTGACCACGACGGTGACGGAGCAGCTGCTCTCCAACATGTTCAGCAAGTCAGTGGGCACGGCACTTTCGCCACGTAAAGTTAACGGCGAGCCATTCGTAAGTTGACGGGAATGAGGTCTCCCTCGGCAGGGCGGGTTCGCTTCACAGCGTCAAGCTCCTGCTCGATCGCCGCTGCGCCTTCGTCAACTTTACGCGGCAGGAGTGCTGCGACACAGCCATCCGATTATTTCACGTGAGTGGCAACTCCCGCCGTTGCCCGCCAACCTTCCTTTCGCCGGGCGACTCACCTCGATGGTCTTTGTTCAGAACTTCAAGCTGATGGGCAACTGGATCGCTGTTCGATACCCTGACAGAATCCCCGCATACGGGGGCTTCTCCAAGACGGCCCTCAAAGCTCAAGACCGTGACAATTCCCACTAAGTGTCTTCAACCACTTCCAACTGCGGTGGCAGGTATGCTTTATTTCTGCAAATATATTGATTTGATAACACAAAAATATTCTGCAAACAGTATAAAAAAATAAGAGGAACAACTGTGATCACACCAAATCTGCAAATAGAGCTCACAAAGTTATAGCTTTGTCCAAATTCCATTTCTCAATTTTACAACCTCATCATCTTTTCTCAACATCATTCAATTTATACCGTAATTTGGGTAGAATCTCATAACTTGACAGTAACTTCCAATTATCGGTGATCAATTTAACAGTGTCGATTGTGTGTTTTCAGGCATAATTCAAACGGGAGCGGCCGCGTGTGCCCGAACCGACAATAAAAGAAGGATGGATTTTTTATTATTATTTTTTTTAATAAATCATGTCCGAAGTCTTTTTTTTAATTTTTTTTTTTTTTAATTTAAGGACATTGACGCCAAATATCTTTTTTTATTCTAAAATGTTTCCATTTAATTAAAGGACTACAATGTGTTTTTCCGTTCATTTGCTCCTTCAATTCATCTTGGCCTTTTGATCTCGTGATGAAAACTTGTCTGTCGTTGCTGTTATTTTGGGCTTGTCGGTAAGTGGACGAATTGAGTGAGTGAGCGAGTAAGTGTTGGTCCTTTTAATCTTGCGGGTGGGGCATCGAGTCGGGGGTGTTAACGCCGACAAAATGGCTGCTGGTGATAGCGAGTCACGGGAGAGGAAGTTGAAATGATGCTTGGCTACACTTGGAAAAGACTATTTTTAGCCTTCCGCTATTGTGAAACATGCCAGCCTTCATCGCCACAACGTTAAAGTAATAGTTTAACAATAACTTTGAGTAAAGTATGCATCTTTTTTTTAGCACTTATTAAAAAATACACTTACTCATTAGTCCCACAATATGATGTAAAAACTATGTTGTCTTCTTATTTTTTACTTTAGCTTGATTAAATTTCCATTTGCTTCTCACACTTTGACTTTATTTGCATTAGGGGCAGAGAGAGAGAGACCTTATTTTGATTTCGTGTGTGTCTAAGTGATATTTGACAGTTACAGCCACAATGGATTTTTTTTTTAATTAATGCCTGTGTTGTGGTAAGGTGCAATACACAATACAAAACAATAAATCCTGATTTATATAGCGCTTTCACAACAGCTGCAGCTGTAACAAAGCGTCAAACTAGAATGTTTTGATTCTTCAGATTGAATTGTCAAAGCGCAAAATTTGATATCAGACAGACACGATAATTAAATCTGATTGTAAGTCATAACGATATGGTCCACGGCTATCAACAAAAAAAAATTGGTTGACATTGTTCGGCTGTGTTTGCGAGAAAAGAATCGTGAAGAGCGCAACTGATATTGGGCTGTCACACTATCGATACTTGATTCGGGCATAACCTAGGTGATACCAATTCGATACATCATTTACCAAGTTCCTATAAATTGTCTGGTTGCGGCTCTAAGAAAATGTTTTTTTTGTTTGTTTGTTTATTTGCTGGGCTTGCATTTAAGAAAAGGGGGGGAAAAAAAGCTCCTTCGTTCCAGATGAGCTTCTCCCCTCCCCAATCTTGTCTGTATCAATTTTCGTGCATGTGAAGCATCCACGATGAAGGAGAGACGAAAGGAGATGCTTTTATGCTGATGAGAAGCAGTTTGGGAGGAGGAGGAGGGTCTCGGGTAAAAATGGAAATGCCCCCCCCCTCAAGCTCCTCATCGCCTTCCCCCCTCCGCTGTATCAAAGCCTCTTGCTAGAGTCTGGGGAGGGTGGGAGAGTGGGAAGCAGGAGACGTCCCAGCTGTGTTTGACAGTTCTCAGGGCTGAGCTGTGTGGTCTGATGCTGAAGGACGTGGGTGGGGGAGGCTCGCCCACCCGACAACCCCCCCCCCTCCACACACACACACGCAGACAGACAGGGGTGGTGGCAAAGGGAGGTGACAGCAAGCCTTGACATGGTCCAGCCTGAACATCTGAACGTACACCAAATGATACCCCAATGCCCTTTTTTTGAGAGGGGAAGGTGGGGCACCCCCTTTTCCTGGCTCTGGCCCGAGTGACCTAAGAGTTTTCCTTTTTGTTGAGTTCCTCCTTTGCGATTAAAAAAAAATAATTTGAGAGTGGCGAGAGAGCGACAGAATTGTTTTGAAGACTGTGAACGCCAGCTCCCTCTATCGGTATGTGAAAGAATCGCTGATTTTAAAGTTCAAATTGTGCACGTTTGTGTTGTTTCTTTTAACTCAAGTTACATTGAATGCTGTGCGTTAAATGCTGTTCAGATGTGATGTTAATACGTGACATTTTTCATCAAACTTTTACGTGCAATACATTTTGAATTGGATCATGTTTTGTATGGCAGTCAACATCGCCAAGGGCCTGTCTGTTTCATGTTCAGATGCAGCTGCTCACAATCCTTCTTTTCAACTGACTGATGGAGCGTTAGAAGGCGCCAAGCGACCCCCCACCCCACCTCACACATACACACCCCACACACACCCCAACCAGTAAATAGGTGTGCCTCTAAAACATCTCGTTTCTTTTGTTTCAGCTGCGGGCGCCTGAAAATCAAACGATCCCAAGTGGTTTTGTGCAGCGCGTCATCTCCCAATGTTGTCATGTCGAACTTGCCTGTTCTTTTCGTTTCTGATTCTGCTGCTGCTGACTCGTGCATTTATTTCAGTGTGATGTCATAAAACGTGCTTCGAGGAACACTTTTTTCTTCTTTTTTTTTTTTGCAATGGCGTTGCTTTCCTTTACTCAACTGCAGAGAGTACCGGGCATCGCTGAGTGGTATGCATCAATTTTTCAGTTTTTAAATACATAATACAAAGATCTATTTTTTTATTCAAAAAAGCAAAGAACATTTCAATATACTCGTATGTATCTTTCTGAATAATTATTTTTTCATACTCCACCAAAAAAATGATATCATTAAAATGATTCACTGAAAGACATGCGTGGTTACAGCATTTTATAATAATGCTTCATTTACTTTCATAATTTTAAGAATATTCAAATTAAATATATAGATAAAATAATACAATAAATAAAAAAACGTATCCAAGTATTTAATAATCTATACATCGGATGTATGAGTTAAAAAAATTGTATGCTAATGAATTATACTGTTTGTGTTTTGTTAATTTTGCCAAATTATTGACATGATACAAAAAATGTCATAATACATTTGTTCATCCATGTTAATGCGTATGATTAATTTGTTGCCTTTCCTGTCCTTTTTATAAAAATGCTTTATGGTATCATGTCCCATCCAAAGCCGAATAAGCTCTTCCTGGTTGATCTCCACGCCCGCCCAGGCGCCCTCCCTCCCGGACGTGTTCCCTCCCTCCTCCCGGGCCCCCTCCCCTACACGCCGGCTCTGAGATGAGGAGACAAGTTCGCCCACCGCACTCACACTCCGCTCCGCAGTCGCTGTCTTCTGTTTCGGACCAACTGAGGTGGAGGGGGGACCTCGGAACAGGAGAAGCGTATTTTATCATCTAAGGAATAACATCCGAGCCTGGTAACTTTTGGGACTGCTTTGGTGCACGTTCAGGATGAACAAAGCCGAGAAGGAAAACGAGCCGAGTGAATTCAGCAGCCACGAAGAAGAGGTAGGTGGGCGTGCGCACCTGGTCGGTCTTTTTAGCTTTCCCAAAAACTTAACGACACGTTTGCTCGAGTCGGGTTTGTCACAACTACAACACGACATCGTGGGAAAAGGCGCCACTAGTTAACTCGGGACGTCTTTTAAGTCCTCTTTTGCACTTGGAATGACGAGTAGGCACTGAAGTTGGCAATTACTTCATCTCGTAAGTGGAAGATGACATTACAACATAGGGCCTCAACATAATCAATGCGGGATCATTTCCACACACTTAGTCTTAGGAGTTAAACTAAAAAAAAAACAATTTAAACTGTTAAGACACAGGCCAAATATTGATCTGTGGCGATCTGTACCGATATCATGTATCACGATAGCCCATTCACTGGTAAAAAAAATCACAAGATCGTGATAGCATTCTTTTTTTCCAAAGATAAATTGAATTCTGTACAATTTCCAATGCCGTTGGCCAATGTGAGCAATCGATGTTGAGATCCTACTCCAGCGTATTTTACAAAGATGGATTGTCATGTGTCATGGTACCCTCCCTCGCTGGTGAAATGCCACCATTTTATCAATGAAAAAAAAAATCGAATTCTGTCAAATTTCTAATGATGCATGTCCCAAGTGATCAACCAAGTTGATATGATACAGTCAATGTTTTTATGTCCCTAGAGGTACACAGATATCGCCATGTATCGTGATACCTCCCTCACTAGTCAATGATCATGATATTGTAGTGTGTCGTGTGTACGCCATCTTTTAACGCTTACAATATTATTTCCTTCCAATTCATAACGCTGCATCACCCAAGTGTCAAACGTGTGTGTGTGTGTGTGTGTGTGTGTGTGTGTGTGTGTGTTATATATATATATATATATATATATATAATATTTATTTTTTTTTCTTGAGTGACCAATGTCATGTATCATTGAAGTGTCGCTCATCATTCAGACATGATGTTGATTTTGGTTTTTAAAAGTTGAATTGTAAGGCAGTCTAATAACGAAGAAATAAAAATATTCTTGCGCTGTTTTACGTCCGTATTGTGATTCTAGTAAGTATATGTAATTTTGTTTTTAAATGTCTTTAGGGCCTTGTTTTTACTTTGTGTATGAAACATGCTACATAAATAAAGTTATCTTGCCTTGCCTAATGACGCCCCGGCCCAAGTGCCGGATACAATACATTCATAGTGAAATATCATGATACGGCAGCAGCATAATCAATGCGTGATGTAATATAGATCCTATGAGTTTTAGAAAACGATGACAATTATTATTATTTTAATTGTATCATGATATGATATGTTTTGACAGTTTTTTTTAAAAATAGATGTGTCATGAATACCTCCCACCACCTTTAGCCAATTATTCCTATTTCATGATACCGTGTGATACCGCATCATGATACTGATATCAGTACAGTAATATTATTGTGATTATCTTGCTGAATGAAGTGTTTCTATGGGAGGGAAAGATGACGTCTCCCAGGGTCAATGATTTCATGAATTGTGACATGGAATGGAATGCAGTCAATTAAAAAAAAAAAAAAACCCTCTGACTGACGAAAGAGGAAGGTAAATAAAGCCAAATATGTCTGACTCAGTGTTGTTTGGTTGTTTCAAAATGGATTCCCTTGACCTCAAGATCTATTTTCCAAAGCAAGTCTTGAGATTTTAAAATACACCCGGCTCCAATCCTTTTCCGAAATAATCGGGTATCATCGGCACATATTCAGGAGTTCATTTTTCAGAAATCATGTTTGAGATCTCTGCCTCGGAGGACTTGTTTTGGTACTCTCTGTTGACATTATCCGAGCACACCACACACAGTGGCACCAAAGCTGTTAAATGCATGATTTAAAAAAAAAAATCTTTCTGTGTGGGGATTGTAGCAGATCAACAACCTTTCAAGATCTGAAGAATTATTATGCGTGTGCTGAGCCTAACGTAGCTCCTACCTGGAAGATAGACTGTTTGTCTGGCTGTTGAATTAGCATTGGCACGATACTAGTGTCAGGATCAGTGCATCCCAAGAGGTTATGCTCGGTTTAGGGTTGGTTTTAGTCAGGGTTTATGTTTTATGGTTAGTGTCATTTGAATTGATGGTAAATCTGGACTTTCCCCACCCAAGCCCCCCTCCCAGGATGGTACCACCCACTGTCCAAACCTCGTCTGCTTCCAAAAGAGCAGTAAAACCTGGCCAATAACTGTTGAGAGGCAAAGTTTAACAAGCTGCGAGGTATGACTCTCATGTGCTTTTAGCGCAATGGCTCACTGATTCACACCAGCAAAGCGCCGATGCGGCGGAAGGGCGCGCTAGCCAAACATGGAGTTGTCGCAGCCGAGGTATGCGTCTAATCTGGAGAGTGGCTTTTGATAAGACGGCACAATCAGGAGCTATCAGGTGTTCTGGACGCTTTCATGTCGCCAGCTGCTAGTACCGTGCTCCTTTTAGCCAGGTGATCAGGCCTTGTATGGACCGGAAAACTCAGCTGGAGTCAACAACTTTTCTAAGTGTATCTTGGCACTACCGTACATGTTCAATGCTGTATCGGAAAATTACTCGATACGGCAAACCCGAACACACGTCAAGTTCGCAGACCACTGCAAACATGTGCGAGGTCCACCATGAAAGCACTCCCTGACTGATGCTCGACCATTTTACCCGGGCCGAGATGTCGCGTTGACTCTGCGTGTTAGCGGATCTTCACAAGCGAGACCCCGAAGAGATATGACTCGAGCGAATGTGGCGCGTCTCTTTGGGGGTGCTCTCATCGGACGGCGTGACCTTTTAGGTACGTGTGGAAGCATGGGGGAGGCCACCAGCGGTCCGTAGCACGCCGGCCTGCTATCCATGAAAAGGGCAAACTGATACATTAACTCTGTGTGACATGAAACGTTACAGAAGGGTCGAAAAAAAATCCGATGTCCAGCTAATGAAGACAATAAAAAAAAAAGCTCACTGCTTTTGCCCCCCCACGCCAGCCTCCTGCTCTGCCGTCTGATAGGTTGGAGTTTATTTATATAAGCGGCGGGGGAATTGTCATCTTATCTGAGCCATTTGTCAGCTGTGCGACAAGAGCTATTTGAAAAGACAACAACAAGGCTTAGCGTCACCAGCGGCTGGCCAGTGAGTCTGAGAAGAACGCCGTAAACGCGACTTGGGCCAAACTAATACACTTTTGTGTGTGTGTGTGTATATGTATGTATGTGTATATGTATATATATATATATACATACATACGACGTGGGGAAAAATATATTATATAATATATATTTTTTCCCCACATCGTCCTATCTTGATTATCACATTTTAAAAATATTGTTTTTTAAACTGCCTGTTTTAAAACATCTGTACTGAAAACAAAAACAAGACCGTACTTCATTTTATTACCATCTGCGGTACTGTAAAAACGAAGATGAACGTCGTAAAATATTAAAACAGCGTTTACTCAGCATGACAACAAATACAGAAAAATATCCAAAAACATAATGAAGAAAGGAGGGGGGGATTTATTCTGGTGTAAAACGATGCAATATCTTAACCCCGACCAACAGTGGGCAGCGTCTGCTGCCTTTCAGAGCAGATCGCTTTATAAAAGCGAAGAAGAGCCTTACATGTTGGAAGAGCCAACATGATAAACAAATGTTCTATTTTGGTGTTTTAAAGATCAAACATAATAAAAATGGATAATTTGTTGAGAGGTCAAAATGCTAATGTTGCTTCACAGAACTACCTACCGTTTCCAACATTTTGTGAATTTTCGAAGATGGAAACTTTTCATGGGAATTAATGGGGGGGGGGGGTGAACAGGAATTTACCAAATTGAAGGCTTGCTCTGAACGAGGGAGTTAGCGTTTTTTTTTTTTTTTTTTTTTTTTGCCAATTTCCCCAATCCTTCACCTCAAGTCTCTTGACGAGAGACACACCACTCATTGATGTGCACAAGCACCATTCCCAAACAAGGCCATTCATAACTCTGGCATACCATAATGAAAAGTGCGTCGTTGTGATGAATAAGTAAGAATAAAAAAACAAAAAACAAAATAAAAACCGTCCAGCTTCAACAAAGTACAGGAGTAGCGCTCGCAATACTAAGATAGCAGTGGCTCTGTAAACAGGCTAAAGTTAGCTAGCTACGGCTGCTAAGTTGCTAGCATGACTTATTTGAAATAGTGTTACTAGAAAACTAAAGTTACTCATTTCAAGTTTTGGTTATTGGCATGTAATTAAAAATCAGTTTGGAAGAACCCTGGTAATGGTCAAAATGAACCTAAAATGGCCTCTTCAAAGCAAAATGGCAGACTTCCTGTGCTTTTCGGGCATGACTTATTTTTCCTTTGCTTTTTTTTTTTTTTTTTTGCGGGTGACTTTTAACTCGTCCCCTAGTTTCCTTCCATCTGCCACACCCGTCTATCTTCCCTCAGCTTGCGTTATCTTGTTCTCATTGCCATTTCCTCCCCAGATGCTTTCTTTCCTTCAGTAATAAGACGCTCTTCTACCACCATTTAATCCCAGTCTTTGTTTCTTCTTTCGTCTTCTTCTGACGATTCATTCGTCAGAAGAAGACGGCGGGGGCGGGTTGGGCGGCCTCAACATTACTGAAAATAAAATTTAGGGGTCCACATCACAACCCCCAAAACTCATTAAAAAAGTTTCCGGCCTTTAATTGAGCCGAGGCGCGTTTTTGACATATTTCCTCAGGGCCAAATGTGGGCCTGTTTAGTTGAAGACCGTTTTTATTCCGTTGTATTTAAACAGCAACAGGCGAATTCACCGGTTAAGTCGATTTGCATTTAATTCTTCTGCCTGTCATTTTGTCCTTGGTACAGATGACACATTATTGTTGTTAATAAACAGGAATTTTCTGATCAAGTTAAATTTCCCGAGACACTCGGAATTAGTGCAAAAAACCCCAAAAAAACAAAAAACAGAAAATAACAAATAACAAGCACAAATCTGAGCATTTGGGGGCCAAGGTGCATGTAGAAACCCTGAAATTGCT